AAGAACTCTGCACGAAAGGGCATGTTCATTAATTTGATCTATTTATATTGAGCTATATGCTTGATTAAATGCTCACAATTAGCTGATAATCCCATTTTATTTTGAGCTATATGTTTATACGTATATCCAGTATTGCATGTAACTTGCAAGAATGAAATTTATTTTTCAATCAGACCATGGACGAAATTAGAGGCAAGACAAGTTTTATTGCCAGCGTTGAAGAGAATGAGATTTGCACTGCTCAGGAACTTGTGAAACTGTTACGAGAATATGGTTGGTATCTCCGTAAATTTGTGTTTTATTATGCACCCCTTATATGTCCCATTGATAGGTTTTTACTAGAACTAGATATAGTGTCATTTCAATCCAATGCATTTCCCATCCCGGAATTTGCCATACTTTCCGGGCTACTGCGCGAAGTCCAAAATGACCTTGGAAAATTCCATGTGAGAGTTGTTTATATGCGCGAAGGGTTTTTCAAAAGGAAAGGTAATAATTTATTTCTGAAGGCAGATTACTTATTTGTATCACGTAGACATGCACAGTAGTTGATTGGAAGCGTTTGATTTGGCTAAGCGTTTTTGAAGCACATTTATTTGAGGGATTGTTGTTCGCATGTATAAATTCAAACAGCAGTGAAAGAGTGTATTTTTTACGAACGAGTCGACCATTTCTCAACAAATGCTATTTCCCGATAACCTATGAAAGGACGTACTAGAAATCATAATTACTTTCATAGATTATATTTAAAAATATAGAAATTTTTTCGCAAAAATACAAATCATGTTATGTTTCTGTTATCTGCTAAATATGTACCCTAGCATAAAAGTCGTCATACAAAGTCACATACCATATGTTGACGCACATTTTAACTGTCTTCTAGTTCTCAAACATAACGGGTATGGCTGTTTAATAATTCTGGATCAATCGATGTGCTTTGAAACATCTCAAAGTGTTTTACAAGGAAAGGCATTCGAATTAATTGATATGTTAGGTTGGATTAAATTTGGCTATCTTGCCAGTGATAGGAATTGTAGCTCTCCTGGTGGACATTGGAAATCTTACTTTTTGCGTCTTTGTGAAAAATAATTATGATAAATTAACAAAAATAACTCCAATTCTGGCCTATTACATTTCAGTAAAATGTTAAAAAAATGCTTGAAAATTACGCTATTGTTCCTTTTGCCACATACGATGCTTGGAAAAAGTTTCTCCATAGCACCCCATTTCCACCTTCAAACGGTGTTGTATTGTGTGATCAATGAGCTTAGGCGAGTCCATTGCAATGCAGTTTGTTGTCCCTTTTTAGGAGCTTTGGTTGAGGTGAATCGCGAGAGACCGAAGTGCTCAACAATTATTCTGATCGACGTTGATTTCATCCTTAATCGAAAATTATCTTCGGATGTCTTTGTTTGGCTTGGAAAACGTGGAACAGAAGAACCCTTCTATCTAAGCAATGGCATTGGAGTGAACAGTCAGCTTTACTATTTGCAAAATGACGTCATCGTACTTGCATATGCAACAAAGACAAGGTAAATAACCCTTACAGTATAAAACAACAGTATGTTAGGTTTCCGCTTTTCCTTGCTAGTTGGAGAGTCAAGGTGGTATTAATTGTTGGAAATATCATTTATTTTTTGTCATTAACTGTCTTGCTTAAAGTAAAGGCGATTCCTGTATGCGAGCCGTGCCCATGAGCCAAAGCATGGAGACAAAGGATGGCCAGTTCCTTCAATGCAGACTTCATCACCCCACCCCCCCAAAATGCAGATACTGTCCTATTCTCGTTTTCTTCAGCTTCCCCGTCGTTGTTAGTCCTTCCCTAAATAAAGGATAGAGCCCAACCTTCAGCCTTCAGAACTGCAGCAAAATTGCCTTACCGCGGTCGATAGCCTGAGCTACTAAGGGACATATATTTTGAAGACGGTACAGCTGATGATATTTACAGCTGCTAACAAATCTATAAGGCTGATAGAGCGCTATCCACGAGAGCTAGAAAGAAGACATAAGTTCCATGATACAAAAATTCGCTTTATTAAATCGTACTTCTATCCAACCTTTAACATCACGCGACTAAGAGATGTGGGATCGACATAATTCAGATTTGTACATCTGAAGTCGATTGCTTCAGATCCAGTTTGCCAAAGCAAGGATATTTCAACCCTTTCATACTATGCATGAGTTTCTTGGTCTCAGTTCAAAATGAACACTTTGAATTTACTCAGATTTTATGGGGACGTTGTGTGTATCAAAACTACTTGTAAAGCAACCATCTTTATATTTTTCAGTATTGATTTTATTATCTGTGTTTCTTGCCTATTTGCAGCCTTTTTTCCAGCCATTTGCAGCCAAGATTTTAAGACTCTATATTTACTTGTTTTAAGTGCTCACTTTTTTTCAGCATGGACCGATTTGGGCAAGGAATTCATAGATTTTTCAAGTTAATTGATCTCCCACCAACCATGCCTGTTCTTCTGCAACGTTGGCTCCGACAAAAGGCAACACGAAATTCAGAAAGCCGATTAAACTTCAGGTGAATATGTTTGTAGTTTAGTCTTTACAGTTAGAAGAGTGTTATGGCAGCGAGATTTTTAATAGCCGGGTTATTGGCTCTCTCACCTCTACAAGCTACTTTTTCTAAGTAAGTGTTTAATTTTCTATGGGACTGCTTTTCATTGTGTGTGAACAGGTGCTCTCATAATTTCAATCTGGCAGAGTCTTCAGATTTTCAGTTTTCTTTTTTGTGCCATCTTCCGAGTGCCCTTTTCACCTGGCACATGACTAATGCGAAATGTAGCACAATTGTGAAATGTGAAATGTGAACAATTAGATTTATACCTTTAATGTCAATCTTAATTTAGATACCTTTCTTACAATCCAATCACACTCCCATATGACGTTAATTGTCAAGTCACTTACAGTTTCAGAAACATTTTAAGTTCTTCCCAGTTCACAATCTCTGAATATTGCTTGATCCATTTTTAGGGAAATTGATAACTGGAGCTCCTGGATAAGCGATGTTTACAGAAGATCTAGAATCGATCTTGAAAAGCTAGACATTAAATTGGATATGCCAGGTTTGTCGTTATTGTCAATCATGTTCATTTTGTTTTCAAAATTTGAAGTTCATTTTTTGTAGATGCCAAAGGTCGAACCATTCAATTTTGTTTCTTTATTTCGTAATTCGTTGTCACTTGTGTAAAAGTTGTTTCATCGTATATCTGCTTAGGCTCAATGTCACCTGGTGCTGCCATAAAATGCTCAAACACTTGTTTTGATAATGTCACCAAAACCAAATAAAGTCACACTCAATTTTCTCAGTATCTTCAGTGCCATTTTGGTTTTTACTGAAAAATATATCAAAATAGATTCAAAGCTAACTAGTTGTAGGTACCAAAGGGACGATTTCCAGCTTCCTTTAAGGAATTAAGAGCAGTCCTTTTCGTTTAGCGCGTGCGATCGCACCCGCACACGCCTGCACACGCGCAAGTTAAATTGCGCGTGCTTTTGATCACACGCGCAAACAGGTGTTTTTGCAGTTTTCTGTTAAAGGGCCTCTCCAGCCAAATTTTGCACTTGCATTTTATTGGCAATTTTTATAAAGAAGTTGAGCCTGCTGATCACGAATTCGTTATTTGTTTTTCGATATTTTTTTACAGTTTGTGAGATATAAGCTCTTGCATTTCGATAATTTAATTGAATTAACCGACAAAAATTTTTGGTTTGGTGACACTGTGACGCAATTTTGACGTCACAGTGTATTTCGGATAGTCTCGCCTCAAACCGAATCGAACGACGGTGATTCGCAAATTGAACACTGCAAGTGATGGTACTTTCAGTTCTGTTCCGCCAGCTTTTAGTTTGAGCATTTCAGACACCAATTCTGAAGCCTTTAGTTGTTCATCGTTTCTGGAGAACAACTGAAGTGACAATTTCGATTAATTATACGCGAGGGAAGAGCTGGAACAGGAACTGGAACTGGATGCAGTTATCAACGCGTGACCATGAGTCCTTCACGCTTCGGTGGAAGATATACGAAATTCATGGCGAACGAGAGCCGCACATTGTGACGTCAGAATGTCACCAAACTGATTCGGCTTTTGTCGTTTTTTTTCTCGGAAAGGTGCAACTTTAAAGCCTTACAACTTCTAAACTAATTGGAATTTTTCAAAAACAATGACTTTGTCATAATACACGCACCAGATGCTAACTTTTAAGTCATTAAAAAAAATTTTTTTTGCTGGAGAGGCCCTTTAACATCAATTTCCCATGGTCTCATGATTGTTTATCCTTTCCCTTGTTACTTGATTCGCACTTTTGACCACAATATGATTTTTCCAATTTTCGGAAGTGATGTTTGGCTTTTGACTGAGTGCTCCATTCAACTTAGCGTCTCGTCTTTCAGCTAAGTCGCCATTAGCATGTTAAGTGTAATAACTGATTTCCTGTCAAAACGTAATTAGGCCCTGAAAGCAAGTAGCTGTTGGAAACAATTTTTACTTGCTCTTGTAACTTTGGAGAGTTACGACGACTTTTAAAAGATGGCTGCTAAGGGCAACAAAATCTGTTATGTATTGATTAATTGAGTTTTGCTCTTGCACGTATTCGAGTGGCTTTTTCCTTCTTGCTCCTTTTACCAATTTTATCAGGTTTGTACTTCAAATTTTCTTACAAGTGCGATCGCACGCGCAAATTTGTTTACATGTGTGATTTGCCGCACACGCGTAATTTTGCTCACGAAAAGGACTGTAAGAGTATGTAAGAATGTGCCTTCTGATCAGATCACTTAGTTTATAGTCTCTTTAATTTTTGCTAGTTGATTTTCAATTGTTCTGTAATTTGGATGCAAACATGAATCGATTCGAAAAGCACTTTGTATTGTTACACACAAAGCCATCATTTTATGGACAGTCAAGCCAATCTGACTGCAATGTGTTTCATAAATTTATGTTAGTTCATTGGTCGTTTGTGGCAAGACATGATCTAAGCACGATTAACAAACCTGCATATTACTCACTGTCATTGTTTTCTTCGCAGATCTTGGGCTGTTTCTGTCTGCTCCTTTCAGTGATTCAGCCGGCCTTAAAAGGTAATGATTTTATGTTTCATATCACATACTTTCGTAATATAATACGTTGATTATATTGATGTTGATGAAATGAAGACTTAAGACAACATTCACAATCTTTCTGGAGTTGTTGGTTTCCTTTCGAAGAAGGCGGCTTGGTCGCGTGCTTTCTGTAGAAATGTGCTGGGAAATCGCTTTATCGTGACAAGATTTACATATATAATGTACTAAAAGCAAAAAGGTGTCATCATAAGTGCCTAGGCCTAGGCAAAAGTTCCTATGGTCCATAGGCTCTATGTTTCGTGCGCCTTAGATAATACTGCGCCTCTGCTTGTCCTTGTGTCTAATACGGCCTTAATGTCATATTTGGTAAGTTGCATGCCGTCTTCCTTCTCCCGTTCCTCGTTTGAAAATAGAAACCCTGCACTAATTTTACATAAGGTATCCTTTTCTTTGCAGCTGGGCTGAAGACCTTTGGTTGCATCACTTTCTGCCACAAGTCGAGAGTTCTGTGGAGGAGCAGGTTGCCGAGGCAACCAATACTCAGCAGGACTTATTGATCCAAGTCGCTCTGAACGCATTCTTAGAAGGAGCTTTTTTGCCGGGCTGCCCATGCAAATTAGATATCGGTTAAGTTAGGACCAAATTTTTAGATATTTTAATCGACTCTACTAGACCTAATGCTGTCTGACCAGAAGGAATGTACTCATATTCCAGAGATTTTGTCGGTGGTCGAAACAGGGAGATTTGATGCTTTCATCAAAAGGAGGGACTTGAAAATTTTATAGAAGAAGTGACCTGTCGTTCTCTGATTTCCCTGGTGCAAATCAAGTCCTGTTTCGGATGCCAACACTCTTGTTGTTCATGTGTGTAACACCTTCTGCAATTAGATATTACTTTCACAAAGTTTTTAAAGAGGCCGGAAGTTTGTCATAATGTGCAGGCCTTAAAGGGGACGTATTTTCGTCAAAATTTTCGTCGCAGAGGCAAGATCTTTTACCTTGTTACCTAGCAGTCCAGCCATATGATACTTTGGGTACCAGAGCCTCAATAAACCGGGGATAAAGTATTGTAGACCGCTTCGGTGGCAAAAAAGGAAGCTCAAATAATTATTTCTGGAACTAATTTCGAACTACAGTATTCTCTCCAATTAACGGACACTCTAAAAGGCGGACACCTCTGATTAGCGGGAAAAAAAATTTTCCCGATCATTTTCTGGTTAAAGTCTCATAAAAAACTTTCTAAAAAGCGGACACTTAATTAGCGGACACTCCAATCAACGGATAATATTGTTTGCACAAAATAGTGAATTTGGCTTTTTTTCTTTCCAATTAGCAGACAGTACAACTCTGGTCTGGTCCCGACAGTGTCCGCTAAATAGAGAGAATACTGTATATTTCTGAGACTAAATAATGGAGACTCTGTCGCCCAGGGTAGCCATATGACTGTCAACCCTTCTTAAGATTTATTGAATTACTTATCTTCAGTTTCATTTCAAGCATTTGTTATAAACTGCCGACTGAATCAAATAAAGTTTTATCTTACTGTTCTTATATACAAATTCACTTTTTCTAAAACGAAATGTTTAGTCAAAGTTACGTTGCAATTAGTTCTTGCAGTAAACAGCGTCAAAAGATGTGTAAATGAAAGAACCCTTGTTGTAAAGTAGTGCTGTACCAGAGCATGCTACGTTTCTAGTTGATAAGTATGGAAAAACCACTGCCCCAGTTTTCAACTCTTTATTATTCAAATCTATTTAACACTTAAGGTGGTGGAAAGGGACACTGTGACTCCTGACAAACTCTAAAAGAACATATTGTACTTAACACAGAACGGCAATTGTTGTACTTAACGACGTCGGAGAATTTTCATTCCACCTCCTGTCGCACCCTTTCCCGCCCTGTTCACCATTCTATCGACCCGAATCATGTTTGCTAGTTTGGTACATATTTCAACAAGTTAATTGCCACTGTTATCTTGCCTGAAAGCACAAAAATAATAGGTGTTACTACCAACATTATAAATTTTATTCCCGTCCTTTCAATAACGTTGTAACACACTCAGAGAGATCAGCTACTTGGTTTGAAACTGGTGTGTTTACTGTCTTATGTGTTAACTATTTAAAAACTTGGTACCCTATTCAGGCGCTGTTCACTTAATCCGAACGATACTTACAGACACGGTAAAGGGGACGAAGATGCAACCCCTTTGATAGGAGGGTGAAAGTACCCTTGTCATTTGTCTTCGCAATTATCAAGAACATATATATAAGTTTCCGACTGTAGCAACTTTTTCAAAAATTTGCGTGATTATTTCGTATCTGCTAGAAGTGAGCAGTTCATACGCTTATCGGAATGGAAATATCATTTACATACCAGTAGAAGCTGCAAATCACTGTTGCAAATTTTTTCCTTATCATGAAGCTAATAGCCATGCCCCTGGACCGTGCAGGTGTCTTCAACGACTCTAGACCTCAAAGATATTCATAAAGAAATACCTAAATAGATTTTCAATGTAAAGTGAGAAACATATTACTTTATCCTCGGTGAGTATTTATAACAAACAAATTTATAACAGTTTAGGTATTGTGATGTACATGGTAAAAATTTGCCTTATCGATTTCATCCAGAAATCCTGTCGTTTTTTGACTCTCTCTTTCTCTTCTGTCGAAAACAAAAAGAAAGTTCTTATGTTGATGCACAAGGTAAGGTAAGAGCTGAGACATACTTGTAAAGCTTTTCACTGCATCGACCAGTTTCTTAATTCTCGAATACTGAGAAAAGGGACCTTATTTCGATAAGTATTTTGACAAGAAGCTCAAGGGTAAAGGAAAGCGAAAGAATGAAAATTAATCAAAATTATAGGTCCGTGATTAACAGGGGAAGTGGGTCATACCCATCAGTCTACATTACTATTCTTTGTCTCCCCCACCTTCAAACATCACTTTGCCATGCCACATCATTCTAAAGTACCAGGCACCGCGGAGCGTTGAGAAAAGTGGGCTGGTCTAAAGAAAGTGGGGGGCCTAAAACTGTATAAAAAGAGGCTTTTCTGGTGGTTTGATACTTAATATTTGGCATTTTTATTATTTGGCATCTTAATATTTGGTTAAACCCCCCCCAGCCCTCCCTGCTCCGCGGTGCCCGAGTACCTCAGTGAAGTGAGAAGTCATGCGATTAGGGTCGATGAGAACGGTCTTGCTTTTAGTACAATGTGTTTTGCATTTTACGGGCTACGTTATGAATTGAAGATTACGAAAACAGAACCAAGGTGCACATACTGTGTGTTTATCAAGTTTCAGTAAGCTTTTGCGTTTTCAGTATTGCGTCAACAAGTTAAATCATCTGGCACGTGGCGAAGTAGGCCCACTACACCTTGAATTCCTGATGCCATTTAAACCTGCAAGTCAAGCTCCTGTCATCATGGGGATACAATCAGGAAGGTTATAAATGATGCTGTTGCAAACCCTCTCTGGAAAGACAACATAAATGACAAGCAGGAGAATTGATGTTGCAATGGAGCCTCTGTAGCAAGAATTATCGGCGTCGAGATGGAGTTGTTGGCCATTCCCTGCATCGTGGAAGTACTTCTTTGCTGTATTTAAGGGTAAGAAAAAGTTGGTAATTCAGAAAATTATTTTGAATATGACTCCAAGAAAATCAAAGTTTTTCAACGGTCCGAGTGAAAGTGGAAGACAACCTCAACGTCGATTATTCGTTTAAATACGATGAATGAGCATAAAAATATATGTAGGGGAGTCAAACTCTTTAACTGCGAAGAAGAACCATACTTATTTTGAAATGGGAACTCATTGTGTTTGGCTGCGCTAATGACTATTTTCTCCAGGTATTTTGCCGTTCTCGTGCCAGTTTTTGTGTTGTTTTGAGTTTGTCTTGAACTTGGTGAACAGGGTACTCTCTCTCTCGACTGGACTCTCTAGAGAAGTTGTCAAGCAAATTCTCATGAAAATGTATTCATCACAATTCTCATTGTGATCAAAATTGAATACATATTTGTTTTCACGCAAAGGGGATTGGATTGCACACATACGTGCTGTTATCCACTTTTTATCAGAAATATAGTCCTTTTAGAAAATCCACAAAGTTAAGAAAATATTGCTTGATATCAAATTTAAACCTTTTCGGCCGTCGTTGATATGAAGGGTTTGGGAGGGTGGGTTGTGCGTGGTGAAATGGTCGAATTCGTTTTCTTTCGAGTAGCTTGTCGACCGTTCCGTTTCATCGTGTTTCGTGATCTACAATCCCGGACAAAAATAGTTGAGACTTTTCAGGAAAACTTTACGTTCTTGAAAAATAACTTCACCCATCCCCCAATTCAATGTTGAATGCATGATTTTGTAGCAAAAATGATAGAACTACATACAAATCCAACATTGCTTCGGGGGAAAGGGAGGGATTCGAATTTAGAAGGGCAAGGTGGCGTTAACTCAGTTCAGTTCATTTCATTTTAAAAATACATACATACAAATCTTTTAAAATACAGCAACAGGTTACAAAAGATGAAATGAATTATATATAATGAGAGAAATAGAGAACAAATAAAAAATATATATGATTTTATAAAAACGAAGGAGATTTGCATCCAGAAATTTCTTAAAGGAGGAGCTCTCTCAATAGATAGACTAATCGAGGAGAGAGCACGTCCTGTGGTAAAAATAGTAAGGTAGTAAGGTAAAGTAAGGTAAAGTAGAAAAATGCAAAAATTGCATCTCGTCTCAATATTTTTGTCCGGGATCGTAGTTTCAGTTTCAAGATATTCGCTTCCCTTGCAGTAGAAAACACATAAAACGATCGTAATATTGGGCTCCTAGATCTTCAATAGTCTTTCAGTGCACAATTTTCTACTTGTGTCGATTTAATCGAAGCACATAATTCAGTTTACACTTACGAATTCAAGTGTCAGCGGGCCAATGCTCGAATATATCATGCAAGAAATTTATCGGACCAAATTGGTCAAACTGTATAGGACCTTGTACCCTTGGTACCAAGTATATAACTATATATACCATCAAGATATAATAAGAGAACCATTAGGTACCATTGAAGGTACGGACAGAGTTGGGCGTTGCTATAGAAGGGATTGGTTCGAGGAATTTGGAGAAGAGGAGACGTGGGGTCCCTGAATAATATACGAGCGAGGAGGGGTGTTTATATTTCTTGTTATGCTTTGCTCAACTTTCTTGTGCTTTAAAGTCTATACAAAAACTTTGCAAGAGACATCAAACGTCTGTCAAATTCAAGCCAAAATAATATAGAATTTTTATAATAACAAGTTCATAAATATTGCCTGGAATCTTCCTTGATTCATCAATCAATCGACGTTCGAAATAAATGTTGTTAATATAAAATGTAGATTCATTTTCCGGTCATCTCAGAATGTCAAATTTTCAAAATTTTTCTTGCTGTCAACAATGGTGGTGGCCTTAACCAAAGCTTTAATGATGTTACTTTTTGCAACTTCCAACCCACTGTAAACTCTCCACACCATAAACTGTGATGTCCCCGATCATCGTTCTTATTCTGTTAAGTGATAAGTGATTCTAATTTATGGCCGCCTTCAAACTGAAGTAATTCACATCTTTAGCGAAAATTGCCTGTAAATGTCCTTTGCTGCACACACTCATTTTTTATAAGAAACGAGCTATAAGAAAAGGTAGGCTCACTTTTTCGAAAGTTAAGAAACAACCCTTCCCAAATCAAGAAAAGCTAAGAAACTTTAATAATTTGCAGTTTCAATTTTCCAAGTTGACACTCAAAACAGTCTTGACATTGAACATCACTGTGTATTACAACACTACACTTGACATGCATTTTGCATTCATTCTCAGTAAATTGCACACTCAAGAAGTTTCCGTTTAAAATTTGTTTTGACTTCAACTTGACATTTATGAAGTTCAATGAGCTTAACTGTTTGCAGATCTCAACAGAGTTAGTCATTCTAGGAAAACAAAATTTCTTGATTACTTTGTTATTTTATCTCTGAATGTGAGTGAAATATTTACTCTACCTTGGGAGCATGTTTAAAAAGTTCATTACCTAAGAAACTTAAGAAGCATGTAAGAAACTTTTGATAGCAAAATGACCAGAAAATTTAAGAAACTGCCTACCAGCACCGGACCTTAGTTTCTTATAAAAAAATCCGTCTACTGAATTTTAGATGCATTCTTATAATCAATGTCTTACTATTCTGCAGCACTCCAATTATAAATATAACCAATGCCGCAATATGCAAACTTTTTAGGCCCCTAAAGATCAAATTCCCCTTAAGGAATACCATTCCAGTCCGCCCCTGATGGACCAAGACCAGGGGTCTGAGAAGGATTCGAACCAACTTTTGTCCCAACGGTAGATTTTGACAGGTGACACCCTTCAAAGTGGTGGAAAATGCCGATCGTTGAAAATGAATTAATTTTTTGCTTTGTTGTTTGTACGCTCCAGTGGCTGGTTTTTATCAAGCATAAAAACAGAGTCTTTTGTGGCTTTTTGGGTTTGCCTTTTCCATTTCACAATTGACAATTTGCTGAACAATTCTCCTCATGGCTTTAAATCGTTTCAGGCTGGAAATGGTAAAGAACTGTTTTTTCACACCTTTGGTAGGTACAATCACTGCCAAAAGTTTTGGAACGCTAGCGTCAGTTTTCAAAAGCAAATTCAGCCACCTCCCTCTCCCTCTTAGAACAATGTTGATCTACTATAGGAAAAAGGAAGGGGTTGTGGAGTACGCTTTTTCGTGTGCCTTGTGTGATATTTTTCTATACTTTCAACATTGTTTTGGGTGGAAAGCGGGACGGAAGTAGTTGTATTCGGGAAAACAAATGAAAAATAGAAAAGCACAGCGCAAAGTGTTGGGTGTTACAAGTATTTTTGGCAGTGATTGTAGGTAGGCATAGGATATCGTATACTAAAGGTCCAAAGAAAGTCCATTCTTCTAGCATCAAAATCTGTCAAATCCTTGACAAGCAATTTCGGTATCTAGTCTTTTCAAGAATTTCCGATTCTACTGACATCAGCATTAGGCCTTGTAACCTCTCTTGTCACTGAGTGGATGCCCTGCCAGTAGTGGATGCCATGTCAGCACTGAATGATGTCAAGGTAACGAGAGCGCAATTTTCATCAACCTATTCGTTTTCTATTACACGCCATGTCATGCCGGTGATTTCTCTAAAGCACGCCACTCAATCTGAAAATTTCTGATTATAAATGTACGGCACGATCTCTTACAACTGGATACTGGAGTTACCTCCTCAACAACATTTCCAAAGTTATCTGCTGCTAGCCGTGTTTATAGAAGAACATCATAAATCCAATTATAATTTTATTGGTTGTCTCCCAGCATCTATTAACCAGCAATTCGTTAAATATTTCTTTTTCTGAATGCAAAATTGCTTTTGTAATCAATTCTTTATCAACATTGAGGTTACCAACTGCATTTTTGTCAAGTTTGCAATCCTCACGAACCTCCTCTCTCAGTTTTTGCATATCTTTAATCATGATCTTTGAAAGGGTCGCGAATATTAGTATAACTGCATTTCCTATGCAATAGACCATATCAGGGTATTTTACGATTCCTATTATCAAAATAGCAGACAATTCTGTTCCATGGCAAGTAGGA